GCAGTGAACTATTACAGGCTGATGAAGAAGAAGGAAGAATACACGAAGACACTGCTGCAAGTATTCTTGCATACTTATTTACATCTCAAGATTTAGTTCTAGTTTAAATAACTATGGCTCCAAAAATACGCTTCCTAGTTCAAAGTCGAATTTTCTTTTTATATTTGAAAGAACACAAATCAGATGTAACATTATGTAATTTTCGTTCTTGTAGATCTTGCCGTGAAGCGTCAAATAGAATATAATTTTTAATATATATATATATATATTCAATAAAGTAAATTTATTTATATACTCGCTGAAGCGAAGGAATTGAGCGAGCGTCATTTGTGAGCTAGATGGAGAACCCTGTTATGAAGGCTTACATAATATATATTTCTTGAAGCGGCCCTATACATAAAAGCGTAACAAGACCTTTATCATTAGTACGAACCTACAATAACACTTCTATTTTGTGTAATTGAGTTTGTTTATCTTTTGATGCACCAAAGTATAAACGACAACCAAGGTATAAAACGATTGAAAGTTCGAACACTGTCCGATGTTTCGTTTTGTACGTTTATCAACTCCAAAGAACAATGGCAGACTTTCATACATAAAATTAGTTGAGAAGGAATAGTAGCGTCTATATATCAAAATTATATTAAAATTTTAAGCGTCATTCCCTTAATAACTCTGTCCAAGAATTTTTTCCTAAAAAGGCGTAAAAAAAAGAAATTTAGATTTGAATCTTTTTAGGTTATGTCTTATGTCACTTGGAAAAAGTCATGCTTCCTGAGAGTTTTTAGATTATTGTATCTCTATTATATATTTGCATACTATAAATGTATATTTCTGGCATGGCTCCAGGGCCTTTGTGTCATAATGATATTCTCAGAAGAGCTAGAACTCAGAGCTGTAAAGCCAGTAAGAAAAATACTGTGACATTTTGTTTTTGCTAGTGTTGCCATAACATTAAATGGAATTGCTACATAGTACTATGATTGAGATAATGTATTATTGTAGGAAGTTCTTTGTAAGAGACTAAGTCTCAACCATATCACATTTATTTTTATTATTACTGATAGTATAGTTATTAGTAATAATAACTTAACATAAAAATATTATGCGTATTATGTTGGTAGTCTTATAAAGTGTATACGAAAATAGTATGAATGTACAAAAGGGCAACACTTGAAAAGAGTAAAAAAGTCATTAGATATTCCCAGAAATGTTTGCTATTTTGTGGCTTTAATTAAAATACACTTTTATTTAAAATATCATAGAAAAATAATAAAACTCATTTTATATATATCTTATTTCTAGACGCGATAATTTTTGTCAACTATTTTCCTGCCATTGTTGTTTGTAATTGGTATAGAAATTAAAGACTCTAGAGATAAATTTGAAAGCAAAAAAAAAAGAGATCTAACAAAGCTAATTTGGGTTCAAAATGACTCCCAGAATTATTTAAAAAAATAAATATTTCCCAGACACCACTTTATGTTACAAGACATAAAATAAATCACCAGTTAGCACATCGTATCTTGATGTTATATAGGGCAGCCTCTCTGCAATAACCTTAATAATCTTCTCTATTATTGTTTAAAAAATTACCACGAAGCAATATGGGACCAAGTGGAGTGGAGTCTCAAAAATGGTTCAGACAAAATTGTGATAATTATAATCGGCATTGTTTACAGCATTCCTGTGAGAATTATTTTATAAAATTTTCTGTATTTCCTTTTTTTTAAACATCTTACGAAATCGAGATGATGTTCCTTCCTATGTCAAAGAAGAAACATTAATTATATATATTGAAACCGATCTATCCAAAGCTCAATATTCTTATCTGAGGCTGAGACTTGTTGAGAAAAACTTACTTTCTGTATTTCGATCGTACCAAACTTTGGCTCAAGCAAAAAAGGATTGCTCCTACTACTCCTATCCTCTTGCGTTAATCATAACCGTTACGAACATATTAAATGTCAAAGTGAACTTTCAAGATTTCTTAGATCATACTGCCAGTAGTATTATAAAGATAGACTTGGTGTCAAAAAATTTCAGCCATCTTAAGCTGTATAGCAAATGGGGTTACGATGGATCCTCAGGACAAAGTGAATATAAACAAGTCTTATCTGAAGAAAATGGAGAAATATCGAACGCTGATATGTTTGTAGTTTCACTTGTACCATTGAGATTAGTGGATGAAGGAAGTAAAGCAGTTTTATGGCAAAATCCGACATGCTCTTTCGACAACCTCGTCAAGGTTTCGGAAACAGCAATGATGGAACTACGACAAGAAGATTTTTCGAAAACTATGAATGTCAGAAATTCCGGGTGTTGATGAAGAGTTGATCAAGAGGTTATACATAATTCTGAAAAACATGGCATCGGAATTTTCTATAAATGGAGTAAAGTTTTGTGAATATACGATGAGGACTGCACAGTTATGTATATGTCAGTAAATATAACTGGTACTATATGCCATCTTCAGTCCACAAATTTCTTATATATGGTTCCAAAATAATCGAGCACTTTGCAGTTTTGCCAATAGGCCAATAATATGAAGATGCTCAAGAAGACTAGAAGAAAGACTAGAAGAGATATAGGTTACATCACGCTAGGAATTGTTCCAAATCAGCCATAATGGAAGACGTTCTTCACATACTGTTGTATACTTCTGATCACTATATATCTAGCTTAAATAGATAAAGTAATGTGATACCAAAAGAATTACTTAACGAAGCTAAAGAGCTTTTTGTATTGACAAGTGATGAGTAGAATTGTGTTCTCTTTTTATTATTGGTAGGTTTTTTTTTGCAGTTTAATATTATGTAATACATAGTTATTAACTTATTAATAATTTTAATTTAATTTTTGTATGATTTTTTTTTTAATTTTGTCATTTTTTTTACTAAATAAATATAGTTTTAAAAGTGGCGGTGCGATGTTTTTATTATCTAATAGCATAAGTATTTAAAAGTATGTAAACAACATTTCAATTCAAAATATCAAGAAACAAAAGCGACGGTTAGAATTATGACGCCGATTAAAACTCGTAAAATGAATAATTTCAGCTAGTTGCCCACAACGGACTTTATACTGAAGTGAAGAAGTGACCCTTCCCACACTTTTTATCTCTTTATTTTTTTACCGTCATCTATAACACTATTATTTATTTTCTATCGTCAATCATAACGTTTTGTAAAACTAATGCCATGTGTCGATATTTTCAAAAAAAACTCCCTCGATGCCAATTTTGCATTGGCATGTGATTGATGGATCATGTATGCAAAATTTATATCATGAAATATGTGTGTTATTCCTTAAAATATGAATTGAGCTTGTTTACCGTCACTTTACTTCTCTTTACTTGAATATGAATAAAAAGATTAAAACTAAATTATTCATTTAAAAAAGCTTTGTGAAACAAAACTCATATATATATACATACTAGTGAGGTGCATATGATTCCGAGTCAGAACACAATTTTAGAATCAACTTGGAATTGATCTGAGTGACGGATACAAGCTTTTTTACAAATATTCCAACTGAACTGCATAACTTAAAATATTTCTTCCGTGATATTTCTATAGCCACGACTTAAGATATCAAAGAGTATCTCGTGAAGCAGGACTGATGAATATTTATAACTTTTCTATCTATATATTACAGCCTTTAAAAGTCCACTGCTGAACATAGGCCGCCCCCATAGATTGCCTTATAGGGGGGATTTATATATCCACTCAATATTGCAGCTTGTTAAACGCAGTAGTTTCCATAATCGCCATTATTATTAGCACGCGGCTTTCACTACTGTTCTCATGCCATTCTTGGCACACGCTACACTCATCACACATTTACATTCAGGTGGCTTATAATATCTAAAATACGGGGATCAGGCATAGTAGCTCGTTTCCGCTTGTTAAATGTCAGAACAAACTTTTTATCGATATTCGAAAGATCCTATTCGCACTAGTATTACGATATCGAATCAGATTTATTTTCTGTACTCTTCAAGAAGCAGCTGTGTTCGATAGATATTGCGGTCTATACAGCTACAAAAAATGCTGGGCTTACCCAATCTTAAAATGAACTTTTGCTTGACATATTTTAGACAGTGAAAATTTATTTTTAATAGATCAGATAGATAGATTATTACATATAACTTTGAGTTATACGGGTCTCATATATATTGTACATACCTATCACACATGATAGGTATGTAAGTTATGAGTTGAAAATAAATCTAATAAGTTATTTATAATAAAGATACGATGAAACTGGCCTAACCTTAAGATAAAATTTCCTTATAATAAAAGAATGTTATATGTTATGCCACTGGAACGCCCCACTTTTTGCCGGGCCCAAAATCAAGAGCAATGGAGGTAACAATAAGTAAAAGAAAAATGTTTTACCTTACTTTCATTAAAATCTGGCAACTTATTAATAGCTTTATGACACTCGCAAGAAGATAGAGTCCGTATCTTCTTGCGAGTGTCATAAACATACCGACTTAAATACAACAGAAGTGATATTATGAAAAATCACTTCAAAATTGCAAATGTGTAGAGACAAAACAGGCTAGTGTTAAAGAAATAATATTAAACTAAATTGTGATTCATATTAACGTAAGCATGCTTAAATATTTTTTGCGTGAAATGTGCGAGTAAAAAAAAATAAGGCGTATAAAACTCGGAAAAGAATTCAGTGACAAGTTAGGTATATACGGGTTTCGTTAAAACCTTCTGGCGCTCGCGGAATTCCTAACAACAGATTGCGAAACATTGAAAATGTCAAAAGTTTCTTGTCCTTTCCTTCACCAATGTTTAAAAATATTTTAGGGCAGAAAATGGACTGCTGCTGACTCCAATAATATTTACAGTAAATTTCAAATGTAATGGGAAAAACTTAATTGAGTAATTTTTATTGCTCGTTTTATGTATTTTGAAACATGAAAACATTTATAAGGTATGTACGAACGAACCATATATTAAATTAGTTAACCGTTTATTAAAATGATCCTTAAATATGTATTATTTATAAGCATTTTCATTTATAAAGTCATTTGTAGAGACTATTACGCAGGTATGTTTAAAAAGAATGACATTCTAGTGGCACAAGATCGTGTGTTTAAAGGTAGGGTACCTTGGGAACACACGTACGCAAAATATGGAAGAATTTTCAAGTGTCCAGTAAGTCTTCTTTCAATCAAAAATTTGCTGTATTTATTATAAAGAGAGCAAATACTGCTATCATTATCATAATATATTTTTGTAGATCACCTACATCAGAGTTGCGAACCGTTTAGGTACAGGAGGTAGTTCAACAGCACAAATTATCAGAGGTGGTATCCTCTATAAATATGTGGTGATTCTTTTGACGTCTCCATATGACCTTCCAATTTCAGTCAATATATACATTGGATGTGAAAACAAAATGACAACAACTAAAAGAACTAAAAGAACAACAACAACAACAACAACAACTAAAACAACCAGGGCTACAGTAAAATCTAGTTCTGGAAACCAAATAAAGACTATCGCCAGTACTCGAGCAGATTTGAACGAATCTACTACTGTAATAAATAATAAAGGAACTGGTAGTACAATAAGTCCTACAACATTAACGACTGTTAAAATTTAGCTTCATTTATAATTGTGATAAATAACAGGATGAATATATTTACTCCTTGAAATAATTTTTGCCTTCTTTATTCTGTTTACTACAATATGAGTTCGGTGACACTTATTTGACAACTTGACAGTTAGTTTCATTTTACTTAAATACGGCGACGGAGAAAGAAGGGATATAGTTTTGACCGGTATGTATATTTATGTATATCTATGTATGATCTTTTTATGGATTTAGGTCAGGGTCTGGTATGTAGTTGCTGTGGCCCAAAGACATTTACATTTATCCTCAGTTAAGAAAATTCGGATGCGTTATCACCCCTGAGCACTGAGATGGAATGTTTCGTTTCCAGTAAAAAGGGTCTCCGTTTGTCTACACTCACCATACGAAACACAGTAGTATTAATCTGCTACTATACGCAGGTATTCTCTGAGAACGAGGTCCTACCCCGGTCGAGCCGGCCTATTCTTGCTACAATCCCAATATATCGGTAGAGCCATGGACCACGTAAAAATATGTTCATCTGTTTGTCCATAACTTCTTAACTACTTATCATAATTTGACAAATGAGGTATCATCGGAAGTGTCATCCAACGATGATACCTATGTCCCGTTACACTGAATTGAATATGGCGCCATCTAGAGGATATTAAGTCATATATATATATATATATATATATATATATATATATATATATATATATATATTGTGTCTGTGTATATCGGACTCCTACTGGCTAAAACCCCACGGTGGTCATCATCAGCGTCTAGGAGGGGTCCATGGATCTCCGTTTGGCAAGCAACCGGGGCCTTCTCTCGCTTTGTTTTATTAAAGTTCGTCCCGGGGGCATTCCTTATTGCCCCCAGTATCCTCGCAGTGATATCACGGTGCTCGGAACTACTTCCGAGTCACCGTCCTTTTCGAGGATTACATTGCTAGACGTTCGGGGCCCTCGCCCCGAGCGTCCGTAAGGATAGGTAAAAGAAACCAATAAATTCTAACAAGCGATCATCAGCTGTAGGCTAAAGTGACATAATATGACCACGGCTATCCCCTGAACATCATTATGAATATGTATTAAATTATATAACGTGTAAGTTGTTTATTTAATAGACGATAAATATCGAATAGTTTGTACATATTTTAGAGCGTGTTTCTTTCAGTGGTCGGTTATTCATTCCGTCAACTAGCTACAGAGATAATAAAGTTGCAGTGAATACGAGTATATTATGCGATATAAATAAATGCTTAAAGTACTTTGTACATAAATTATCAATGTAAAAACGATTAGGCTATATAATTATGTCCTTTTCAAATATGCATGTCTCCTTTATCATTTAATATATGATAGTAATTGAACTGAGAAATGTCCGCTTCTTGGTTACCAAATTGCCAAACATTTCATATCCCTTAAAGGTTTTTATACCTGAAATAAGCGACTTTCTAAGTCCGCTACTACATTGTAATGTTTACATCATGCACATTTATTTAAATTATTACGGTTTTTCGGTAATATTCTCCGATTTCCTACATTGATTGGGATATCACTAGTATCTGTTACAATTGAATGAGATTCCACAAGCTTTTAAAATATAAAGTACAATATAAACGAAATATAAAGATTCAATGAGTCTCCATCTGCTTAACTTTAATCTATAAACTTTTAATAAGTACTAAAACTTTAAATAGTGGTTAACAGTTTATTTGGATTCATGTGTTGAGAACAAAAGTTGAAACATAATACTGCCATTTTAGAGCGAAACCTTAATGTGTCCTAGTAAGCATTAGGCAAAATTTAACTCCATAAAAAAGGAAAAAGATGGTCTAATACAATACATTGGGAATGTGTTTCTTTTTACCTTTGATCTTTCCGTTAGTCTAATCGTAAGAAGTAAGCTAATCTTTATAAAGTTATTATCAAAAGTTCAAGTAAAGTTTCACAAACATAAAAGTAAGCAGGAGGCCTACAAGATTTTTTTATATACTAAGGTGACAAACGCACATAGTCCACCTGATGGTAAGTGGTTGCTGTGGCCCATAGACATCTACATCTTCATCTTCGTTTTCGAATTAAAATGCAAATGCGTTTTCAACCGTGAGGACTACCTCTAGAATGCCTATTTTCCAATAAAAAGGGTCTCCGGTTCTCTACACTCACCATACGAAACACAGGAGCATTAAGCTGCTATTTTACGCTGGTATTCGGTGAGAGCGTGGTCCTTCTCCGGTCGAACCGACCCATGCGTGCTAGAACTATACTATTAATATAGCTGCAGCATAGCTCTATCACGTACTTACGTTACGTTAATATTATTGATAGGTGATCGAAAGAAGTAACATTGTTCGTAAGTATGTAAGTTTATTTGAGAACATCGATCACGGCCCATACATGCTGTGACCTGACTATAAAATGTCGCGAACATGACTAGTGTATGGATTAAACCGTTCGCCCTGAGCACAAGATAAATCCTAAATTAAAAATATATTATTTAAAAGCCGAGGATCATAGAACGTTACACTTATGTATTTCCTCACTGTTGAGGTTATGATGTAGCCATGACAGCAGCCATGACTACAACCTCAGCCAAACAATTGATATGAAAACTATGCTAAATGCTGCTACTATACAAATTAATCAATAACCTTTTTTAACCTAATTTAATATACACCTAAGTCACTATTTTTTGACGCGTCAATAATCATTGGTTGTCGTTTTATAATTTGGTCAGGTCGTATTTGACCGATGTTCTATAGAACTTCTGACTCATAGGTTATGTGTGATTGCAATGAAAATTGTTTCAGTTTGAAAAATATTAAATAACTTTGCTTTTACCCGAATCTTACGCGAGGAAGCGGCTTGGTTACTAACTTAATAAAAAAAGTTCTTTCTTTACTGCAAACATAATCTATGTTGTATAAAAATTTAATATACATAAAAGTTATTATAAACCTCCGTTAAGATGCTAAACTGCTTTCAATTTTTTCTTCTTATCTTAATATTCATTTTTTTATTGTATGATTTTTTTTGTAATATAATATTTTATTATATACAATATTAAAAACTATAATAAAAAAAAAACTAAAACTAGTAACTTAATTATCATACAGTCCTACTCTCCGCGGTATCGTGCCAAGAACGCTGGCTGCGTTTCCCCGCTGAATTGCTATACTTAGCATTTGAGCGTAAAAAGAACCAACCCTCTTATCACCAGCAGCAACAAGCAGTCGTACATGGAGTCCCTTTAGGAACTTCATGTTTATGTGTGTTCATGTGGACTCCACGAACCGATCGTCTCTACAGTAAATGGCACAAATATGTAGTCATCTCTCATATTTGCGCCACTTACTCAGTTCAGATGCCTGTGATGCCACGCCGGCTCTAAACGAGATACCCCTGAGATGAGAGGCCGTCAAAGTGTCTATGCAAGTAGCATCACACACTAGGGCTTCTCTCTCAAGGGACCAATGTCATACCGTCGGGTCTCTTGCCATCATCTCTCAATGGATGACATCGTACTTGAAAACCTACCAGCACTTTTCTTACATGAAAGTCCGTGGAGCCCAAACTTGTCGACGCTGCTATCACAGGGGCACTGATGGAGTCGACAAATCGCCACTCTTAGTCGGCTTCCTACGGCGATGCGGAAGCTTTCGCCATCAAGTATTGTGACGAGATTATTTGAATGTAAAGCATGAAACCAGTGACTAGATACCTTAGTCGAAACAGATAGAAGGTCTGCCTGATCTGGTCACTATGTAATTATTTTTTATAGGATAGTGTGACAAACGAGCACACAGCCCACCTGATGTTAAGTGGTAGCTGTGACTCATAGACATCTGCATTATACATACATATTATACGCAGTAGAGTCATGCTGCAGCTATATTAGTAGTATAGTTGTAGCACGAATGGGTCGGCTCGACCGGGGAAGGACCATGCTCTCACAGAATACCAGCGTCAAATAGCAGCTCAACACAGCTGTGTTTCGTATGGTGAGTGTAGAGAACTGGAGACCCTTTTTACTGGAAACGAGGTATTCCATCTTAGCCCTCATGGGTGGCAACGCATCTGCGTTTTGATTCGCAAACGAGGATAAATGTAGATGTCTATGGGCCACAGCAACCACTTACCATCAGGTGAACTGTGTGCTCGTTTGTCACCCTATACTATAAAAAAAAAACATTTATCCTCAATAAATGAATTAAACTGCGGAATAGTTATCACCCGTGAGGACTAAGATAGAATGCCTCTTAACTAGTAAAAAGGGTCTCCAGTTCTCTACACTTAACATGCGAACCACAGCAATGTAAAAATTAAAAATTATGAAACAAATATTTCTGCTTTTTACCAACGCTCTGTACCAACGGAATATCCCACTGTTTTTGTTGGTAACTTCCAGTGGAACATTCTGCCGGGACAGAGCGTTGGTCATGTCTGCCCTGCCTTCGTAGCAAAGCATAGGTCTACTTTATTATTTAAAATTATGTTACATAGGTCAATGATACTATGCACGGGAGCAAAGAAAGCAGGCAATGCAACACTAGAAAGTTTTGTCACACCAAAACCACCAAATATTATAGGTAAAGTAGCTTGAGTCCAGGCTGTTGTATTTAAAGTTAAATTTAGAATTACTTCAATAACAAATTTAAGATTAATATCAACATCTTTTAAAATATCCGAAAATTTCCAGGCTGGACTCGAGCGGAATAAGTATGTAAATCTAGGTACAAGGAGACAATATTTTAAAATAGCAAAAGGAAAATGTTTATTTTTTCCAAAGATTAGGGTACTGACCTGAATCAAGGGAAAAATTTATAAGATGGGAAATTGCCTGAAGAAGGTGCTCTAGTATAAATACTACCATTTGTCTACTAATCTCATCATAACTCACCGTCTTGGACTGAATTGCTAAAATAGACTTTTTGACATCATCTTGAGAAACAGGAGAGAAATTAAAGGTAGGTTTATTAAGAATTTGCACAGAAGTAATGGAAACCACAGTTTGAGAGC